AATAGAAGAATACTAGGGCTTTTGTTCACACTTTTTTCCAATATATAGAATGTGAAAAATATGTCTTACTATTTTTCAATATAATATAAATGCATTTGTAACATAAAAATAAAATAGTTAATAACCTCGACCTTACGTTACGGAAAACCCTAAGATTCTAAGAGCTAACTGGCCTTTAGGAGCTTGTCAAATTCCACCTAATGTAGTGATTCACATTCAACAACTATGTGTCTTCCTTCTCATCTCCTCCCTTGGAATTTCATTCTTCATTCCCACGTAGCTGCCCTTCCTTGACAGGAGGGCTTGGAGCAAGCAAAGTCTTACGTTATATACTACGATATTTGATAGCGTAGAGAGAGGGAGTAAGCACACAATGAAATAACAGGAGAGTCACATTTCTTAATAATGCACAAAAGCCCTATAGCCCTTTGACTGAGGCATGACCAGAGGATCTTATAGCGTTGGAATGAGTCGAGGACAAGATGTGGTGCCCAGTATTTTAATCGTAGCGGCATTATTTTGGTGGTCATCCTACCTTGTATTACTCGGAGCATTTGGATCATAAGTTTTACAATGTGCAATAATTTCATGTAATAACTTTCAATTAACATTTGTTCTTGGATATACGCATGAGTGCAAGCTGATGTGACAAAGTTATCTTTTCTGGCATTTGTCATGAACTTTCAGAACTTCTTCAGATTATCACCAGGATTTTGCTTTGCTGATGGATTAGCTTCACTGGCTCTTTTACGGCAAGGGATGAAGGATGGATCTGGTGATGAGGTTTTTGACTGGAATGTTACTGGTGCTTCTATTTGTTTACTTGGCAGCCGAGGTTCTTGTCTGATCCCAGCCTTCTACATGATATTTTCTATTGTTCTGTACAACTGCTGGTGGTGCTAAGTTTCTAAAAGATAGGTTTGCTGGGAGAAGTTTGCTGCCTATTAGACTTGTGACATTTAGAATTGTATTTTTAATCTGCATATTTATTATTCTGGTGATCAAACCTTTCTACTTTTGCCTGTCAGAACAGTTATTGTTTAGGTGGTAACCATGTGATATTGTATTGAAAACTTTTCAACCTGTTTTTTTAATGGTCAGTTAGTTGTGTGCATAGCTGGTTTTCCTTCTTGTGGTAGAAGTATGAAATTATAAATTGTTGTATTGCTTGGTGCGTCTTTTCAGAAAACATAAGAAAGCAAAGAGAACCTAGTTAATGTTGTCTACCGATGTGTTGGAACCTTCTAATAACATTTAGTCTGATTTGTTGGGTAATTTGTGTGGAGTCTATTAGGAATCTAAATTAGGTGTACTTTATGCTTTGTTGTACACTTTCATCACTCGCTGACTTCTTTTGATCTACATGATATTTCCTGGTATGTTTTATCTTTTGTGTCACTGGTGTGTCTCTTGGGTGTCCCCTAAAAACAAATTAATTAATAAAGGTACACACCATGTTGCGTGTCCCATACATGTCCCCGTGTCTGACACCCCTACAACACTTGTTTTGAAGTATCGGTGCTTCATAGTTGAGGAGAAGATTGAGATAGTTTTTAATTGTGATGCAGTCCAAGGATTATCCTGAGCATATGTTGTCCAAAAATAAGTAGTTGTTGAAGGAAGTGGTTGCAACGAGTAGACGATTTTGAGGAAGGGATGGTAAGTGTTAAAGAAGGCATGGCTGATTTAGTCCCGATGTAAGATATGGAAGGTGTTATTGATCGTGGAGTTTATGTCGAAGTGGTTTAAGCTAAAGGGATGGATTTTTCTGCTGATGTCGGTCAGTAATGGTAAGAAGAAAAAGGGTTGGACTGAGCATGGTCCAAGTGTGCTTATTTGTTCTGGGTTGGACATAATAGTTGTAGTTCGTTATTTTGGACCCGATTCCTTTGGCGATGTGGATAATGTGTATGTCATCAATAAAAGGCTTTGGTTGAATTCTCCTTTGATTTTGATGCTAATGGATTATTAATTTTAATAAAATTGATTGACTTAAATGACAATTTTGAGGAATTTATTTTAAAAAATGATAATGCTGATTCCCTTAGTCATGATTAGATTGAACAAGTGGTTACAAAGGAGATTGAGTTGGCTGGTGGAGATAAGGTTATTTATCCAGTGAAGCAGGAGATTGGTGAGAGGTAGAAGATTTCAAAGAAGTTGAAGTTTATTGTCCTCCAGGAAGGATAAGGAGGCTTCGTTGCTGAGTGAGCTGTGGTAGTCATTTGAAGAGGGACGAAGTTTGGACAAGAGTGATGTTTAAGGTTATTGATGGAAGCTTGGGTGGGAATAGTAAGGTTTCCAAGAAGCCTGTTAGCGTCTTCTTTGTCTTTATGGGAGAATTTAGGAGAAAGCTCAAGGATAGCATCCGGATGTCACTTCAGCTGTGGTTATCTTATCTTTGTCTTCAATGGGGCATCATGTGTAGAAGGGGTGAGTAATCTTTGGATCATCTTTCTTACACTGCCCTGTGGCTTTGAGGTTATGAAATCGATTCTTTCTTTTAGTTAATTCACTGTGGGTGGCTCCAGCAGCAAGTATTCACATGCTTTCATTTTGAAATTGGGGTTGCTCTTGTTCAGTTGAATTATGTTAAAATTGATGTATTATTGATTGATGTATGTTATCTATTACAAATGGTGAGTGGCTCCTTATATAGGAGATGTAGTGGAGTAGGTGGTAGTGGTAGGTGTGTAGTAGGTGGTAGTAGGTGGTGGTAGGTGGAGTAGGTGATGGTAGGTTTTAACAGCCCCCGCAAACTCAAGGGGATAGGAACTAACCAACTTGAGTTTGGAGAGAGTAACAAAACAAGAAAATAATCTGAAAAATAAAAATGGATAGGAGACACTGTATGGTCGTGTCAGACCGTTGTAGAAGACTGTATGGTTATTGGCAGACCGATGTAGAAGACACTGGCTCGTGTTGGACCGATGTAGAAGACAGTTTATGGGTCATGTCAGACCGTTGTAGCAGACAATGTTGTGACAGTTGTTGTGACAGTTTACGGAGTCTTGCTGGACCCTTGTAGAAACTAACCGGAATCAATGTTGGACAGTTTACAGAGTCTTGTCGGACCCATGAAGGAGCTAACCGAAATCAATGTCGGGACAGTTTACAGAGTCTTATCGGACCCATGAAAGAGCTAACCGGAATCAATGTCGGGACAGTTTACAGAGTCTTGTCGGACCCCTAAAAAGTCGCACCCTCAAAAGGTGTGCCCAATCTTTCAAAAGGCGTGCCATCAAAAGGCGTGCCCAATTCATAAAAAGCGTGCCATCAAAAGACGTGCCATCAAAAGGCGCGTCCATGTTGTCGGTGAGCGCCAGAGGCGCATGATGCGCGTGTCTGCCTCGGCTTGCGCGCCCATGTTGTCGTCGAGCGCGAGCGACGCATGATGCGCGTGTCTGCCTTGGCTATTTAACCAAGGTTGAGGCGGAGACTGTGCAAACCAGTCTTGAAACCGCCGAACATTTGCATTCTGAATTACTCTGTAAACACTCTGTAACCAATCCTTCTCTGAAAGTATCAGTCGGAAATCGCTGCTTCGCTGAAACACTCCGCAACCCAAAAACATGGCCTCTTCTTCCCGTCCAGCTACCCAGAACATGGCTCCTCTTCCCGTGGTCTGCTCACGCTCTTTCCAGACCTGAATGAGTCCACAAGAGAAATAACTGGTGCGGTGGCCAGTGAACCTCAACCAAACACCTCTGGTTTGTCCGTTGAACTTTCCGATGCGGTCTGTGGAGCAAAAAATGGCGGTGCAAACTGATATTGAGGCCAATCAGTATACTTTGAAGTCATGTGTTGAAACCATGACTGCGGTCACAAACTTGTCGCACCGGCTGCAGAGTAGGACAAATGAGGTGCAGCAGTTAAACGCCCAACTGGCTCTGCTCCAGCGCATGTATAAGGATGCGCGAGCAGAGATAAGTGTGCTAAAGGCGGAAAACAAGGAGCTGAAGACGGAAGGCCACCGTGATGTTCCGATTTGGAGGTCCTCCATATGCTGTAGTGGAGGAGCAAGGTGGAGTGATCGTGCCCAGTGGAGTGGGAAACACGGAGGCAACACCGTCAAGCGCCGCCCAGGACGGAGGCAAGAAGAAAAGACCGGCGGAATAGGCGAAGAAGTGAGGTCGGTGGGTGGCGGCTGCAGAAAAGAAAACAAATCTTTGGGTGTTGTGTTTTGGGTTGGTTGTTTGTGGTTTTTTTTTTTGTTTTTTTTGTTTTTTTTTGTGTGTGTAAAATTGTGATTGGGGTTGATCCCTGAGATGAATAAAAGATGGTTTGGTGTGCAAAGCTATATGGTATGAATGGAATTTGAAAAAGATTAAAAATAATGTGAAAGAAAATAATGTGAAAGAAATAATAAGAATAAATTTGAAATCAAAATGAAAGATGGGGAAAATAAGGAAAGTGGTTCACGTGGTTTCTTGTCCCACTGTTTTGTGAAAATCGGTAATGGGGTTCGGTTATATATATATATATATATATTTTGTGGATTAATAATAATAATTAATAATAATAATAATAATATATTAAGGAGGAAAGCATGTGCGCTGGTGTGAGAAAATAAAGAAAATAAAATTGAAGAGAAGTTTGTGAATAAAGTTGAAGTAATAAAAAAAATAAAAAAGAAATGTGAGATTTAAATTTGTTTGGACGGGTCCTACCACTAATGAAAAAGGAAGATGATGGGTGTGCAAACCTTGTGATTCGTTTTCTTTTCAAAAAGATGGATTAGTGCCCCTGCAAAAGAGAGTGCAGGTTGGGGGTAGTGCCCCTGCAAAAGATATATTTTATTTATTTATTTATTTTTGTTTTTTTTTTTGTATTTATTTATTTATTTATTCTTGACTCCTTTTCCAACATTCACGACCTCATCAAGAAGCTCCTGAGCTGCTTTCAAGTACTTAGAGCCCAACAACACACTCTGAACTCCATTAACACCGTTCGAAATCCCCGATGCTGACGACGGTGACCCGCCCGAGACCCGGATATCCTCTCCGGTAACCGGTGGAATTGTCGGTGCAGAAACGTGGGTGGTCTGTTGAGAAGACAGGCTGAGAGACAGACCTTGAGGAGCGCGTGGAATGTCACGCGCCACCGTGGGGTCAATTGAACTTATACATATTGAAGCCGTGGAGGGCCGAGATGTCTTGGGAGTAGGCGGAGCCGCCGGCGGAAGTCACGGCCTGAAGCGGGATGCCAACGAACTGTTGGGTTTGGTTGGGCGGTCGCGTGGGGGAGATTTTGTGGGTTGAAAGAGTTTCCGGCGGCGGCGGTGGAGTTGAGGAAAACGAAGTTTCCCGGTGGCGGCTGATGTAGAAGAAGATCGCCGGTGATGAGGCCGGCGACGACGAGAGGGTTAGAAGGATGAAAATCAAGGTCGAATGGAAGCTTACCCAAACTAATCTCCATTGAAGAACACTCTGTTGTGTGTGTTGTGTATGCATCTGGAGAGAGCCGAGAGGAAGGAGGAGTTGTCTTTCTTGAGTGGTGTTTGCGTCTCCTCTTTTTAGAGAGAGAGAGATGAAGTTTGAGAGTGGGTATATTGTTGAGACTGTGTTTGATGGAAGTAAGCTTGGGATTGAGCCATACTCTGTGGAGGTGTTGAAAAACTCCAGCAGAACAGACGGGAGAGAGACCAACCTCACCATCTCTCTCTCTCTCTTGGGGAATGATGGGAAGGTATGTGTAAAAAATAAGCGGAATAGGTTGAGGTCCGGCGGACGGCTAAGGTGAGGTTGCCGTCCGCCGGTGAAGCGAAAAATTATAGGTTCTAAACCTGCTCTGATACCATGTTGAAATTGATGTATTATTGATTGATATATTGATATATACAATGACTCTCCTATATATAGAAGAGAAAAACATATTCACCTACCACTAGTAGGTGGTGGTAGGTGTAGTAGGTGGAGTAGGTGATGGTAGGTTTTAACAAATTATTGTACCCCGTGACAACCAGTATGCTTTACTGATAATGAAATTAATACAACATAAATATGATAAATATGTCATGGAATTGTCACGCTTCATTTTACTTGTAGGCAACATTTAACTGTAGCACTGTATATACACATAACCGTCTCAGCTGGTTTTGCTAAATAACTAGTGCTGCAATTTATAGCCTTTACTTTGTTTTGTCTGTGTAAAGAATAGAAACTTTCATTTGAAATTTTAAATGAAACTTGGGTTTACTCATTCATATCAATTATTGTATCCGTGACAGGGAATTGTTTTTTTTCTTATAACGCTTGGTCTTGAACTTGTGCCTCTTCACAAAATAACTCTAGTCACTCTTAAAGGCTGCTGGGAAAGTATGAAAAAGATCTTCCAAAGAACTTCCAGTAGTTATACGGAACCTCTTTTGGAATCATCCTCAACATATGTTGCTATTGACCCTGACGAAGATGTAGATGTTCAAGCAGAAAGAAATAGGGTACTTTCTGATTCCACAGACAATGCGATTATCTACTTGCGTAATCTTTGGAAGGTACTCTTTTTTTTTCCATATAATATTTTTTTCTTTGTATTTTCTTTGCAATCAACCACGATGTGCGAATCCATTTTCATTCTAACTCAATATATATCATCAATTCTAGGTCTACCATGGTACAAAAGTTGCTGTTCGTTCATTGACTTTTTCAGTTCAAGAAGGAGAATGTTTTGGTTTTCTAGGAACAAACGGAGCAGGGAAAACTACAACCCTTTCCATGCTATCTGGTATGTAGCTAATTGGCCCATGAACTTTAGTTTCTAAAAACAAGATATCTGTATCGTAGATGTATGCTCTTTTGCCTGCTGTGCTTCATTCAGGATAAGTTTCTTTAATACATTAATGAAAGAGAGCATCTTTTCACATAAATATGAGCTACAAATTATGTTTTCTTTGTTTTCATAGCAACTATTCACTTTCATGCATCACTCATAGATGTTGCATACCAGTTCTAAGGGTTTATGGAGTTATTGTTGTTCCTTTGTGGGGCCATTTTAGCTGATGTACTGATTTACCTCACTGTAAAAGCTCACAGGATCTTAGCAAAAGTAGACTAATTAGTATTACTATTATACAAGGAGAAATATTACTCATTTTGCAATTCAAAGCATGAATGTCCATTGACCATATGTGCTTTTGCCAACAACATCAAAGTGTTTCTTAATTTGGAATAATTTTGACTGGTTGTGGAAAGATTGATTTTCTTCTTTTGACCAAATAATTGTTACACAGGAGAAGAACGACCGAGTGATGGAACCGCTTTTATATTTGGCAAAGACATAAGTTCAAACCCCAAAGCTGCCCGTCGACATGTATGTCTTGCTTCTTGATCTACATTCTTTTATTATTGGATGCTGACTACTTATTCAAAAAATATTTACGGATGGCCCTTGAATAATTTACTTTATTCTCTTTATGGGTCAGATTGGCTACTGTCCACAGTTTGATGCTCTGCTTGAATTTCTAACCGTTCGAGAGCATCTTGAGCTCTATGCAAGAATAAAAGGAGTCCCAGACTACAAACTTGAAGATGTATGTGTATTTTTACAGTTATGTTGACTATTCTTTGTATTTATATCGTTAGCAGCTTGCTAGTTCAGTAAAATTTTCTACATTTAAAAAGAATTTAGTGGATTGACAATCAGTTTCTATTTGCTTTGTGAGGGTTTGGTTGTAAAGGAATGACGTATCTTTCTGGGTTCACTTCTCACAGTTAAACGTTTGGTTTATTTTTTATCTTTAGCTTTTTATTTTTCCTTTTTTTGGACAAACAGATCCATAATAAACAATTTTTGTTCGAGTTAAATTCAAGTTTTCCTTCTAGTCAAGTTCACAGCACAACAAAACAAGATGAGTGTTTCTTTGGGTGGAAAATCATCTACATGTTAAACTAAATCTACCACTCATGTGTATTGCTAATGCAAGTGCCCGTAATGTACAGGTGGTTATGGAGAAGATAGTGGAATTTGACTTGTTGAAGCATGCCAATAAACCTTCATTTTCTCTTAGTGGGGGCAACAAGCGCAAATTGTCTGTTGCAATTGCAATGATTGGAGATCCTCCAATAGTCATTCTTGATGAGCCATCCACAGGTGATTACTCTAATCTTCGTTCATGTATAAAATATTGGTTCCCTTTTTGGACTACAGTGAATCTGCACATGTAACACCAAGTAAAGAATGACTTGTTCAATTTTATGTTTCTAACTAACAATGTTCTGCATCATACTCTGCATAAAAGCTGTAACTTAATGTGTATATTTAGATTCATAGTCATAATATTGTCTCCCCTTGAAAGGAGGTGATCTTGCCACACCTTCCAGTGAAGCTTCCACTGACAGCTTCAGTCCCCTCTCTCTCTCTCTTTCTCACACACACACACACACACACACACACACACTATTGTTCCCCTGCAAGTGTTATTTTTGTGCCATAAAGGAGATTGACCAATAATTGACAAATGTATTCTTGGATTATTTGTTTGAATAAATGAATCCAAATATTGACAAATGTGCTTTTAAAGTGTATGTTTTAAATCTTTTAGTTAAAAAATAGTTACTCACCTCATACGTACTATTGCCTGAGACAATAAGTACTTCCATCTTCTTTTCACCGGAGTGCGCTATACCTGAGGACATGCATACTTAACTTCTAAGTTCTCAATTATGTCGTTCATTTAATTATTTTTAGGTATGGATCCTATTGCCAAACGATTTATGTGGGAAGTAATATCCCGGCTATCAACCAGACGAGGAAAGACTGCAGTTATTCTAACTACTCACAGCATGAATGAAGCTCAAGCACTATGCACCCGGATCGGAATAATGGTATCATTTGGTGGCATTTGCTTGATGCTGGAAGTCTGGAATATTTAAACATAAAACTTTAATTTGAAAATTGTTCTTCCTCTTTTGTATGTGAAGGTTGGAGGCCAGTTAAGATGCATTGGAAGTCCTCAACATCTGAAAACACGTTTTGGGAATCATCTTGAGCTTGAGGTATTTCACAACTATTATCAGCATTATATATGAGAACAACTAGGTCATGTTTTTTGTTCCCTGTTTTCAGGTTAAACCAACTGAAGTTAGCTCAATGGATCTGGAAAATTTGTGCCGGTTGATTCAAGAAAGGCTGTTTGACATTCCTTCTCATCCAAGGAGCTTACTCAGTGACCTTGAAGTTTGCATAGGGGGCACTGACTCCATAACATCAGAAAATGCATCAGTGGCAGAGATTAGCTTGACAGAGGATATGATAGTCATAATTGGGCAATGGCTTGGCAATGAAGAAAGGATAAAGATACTTTTATCTTCAACAGACCTTTCTGCTGGGGTTTTTGGTGAGCAATTATCGGAGCAGTTGGTCCGCGATGGTATGCCAATCCTTAGCTGCTTTTTGTTCTTGTTCTTCATTGCAAATTTACTCTCATGGAAATTATTTTTTTGAACCTGCTACATTTTTACTTTCACACAAACAAAGGACTGTTCTTTTAGTGCTTCCTTCTGTATGCCTATCCTAGATATTTAATTCACTGATGAGTTGGGTATCTTAGGATCAAGGCATCTAGTTCTTGGCATATGAATGGATTTCCGATGCATTTTTCAAACTGTTCAATGCTGCCGGACATGCAGGGTTATACTTAGATAAAATACAACTCAACATGCCTGTGTCCCAATTACTTACTATGTCCTCAATTGAGGCAACATGGAACCTTTTCTTCTAGTTGCGTCTACCAAAAGCCATTTCCTTAGTTAAGTCTATGGCAATCAAGTCCTTTCTTACCGCTTCAATGCAATGCGACTCACGACCCTCAAAACATTTGATCATTTGGGCTGCAACAACAGCAGAGGCTGTTGGGGTTGAGGTCATGATGCCTCTTCTGCATAGAAGAAAAGGATGGATAGACCCCTTTTACTCTCTGTCATCACTTAAGCTACCATCTTGTGCTTGATCGTCAAAAGAAGGCCTTTCTATTAAGTATTATCTCAAGGTCAAACTCATCTTCTCCATCTGACCCTTCCCATGCCTGCCATTGTAGAACATTTAACCACCCAATGCACCTTTCTATCATTGATCACATGTTAAGGGGCACCAATTGCTATCATGCTCTTGGGAGTTTTAACTGGTGTCTTCATCGTTGGTTCATCTTCAGAAAATTGGATTCTCTCTTCTAATTAGAGAAATTCCTCTACCTAGCCTGCCAAAAGCAAAGCGGTGGACTGAAACTTCTTCTTGTTAACAGTTAACAACCAGCTACTTTTGAGCTTCAAAATTATTTATACATACTAGTGTCACCTAAGGAATTATGGTATACTTCAATCTTACCCTGAGATCCTAGTCATGGAGATAAAGGGACCTCTCAAGGTGACAACTGGACTTAAGTAATTACAGATAGTATTTCATTATGATTGGTAGTATTTCATTACAGATACTGTTTTCTTTGAATTGTTTCCCAATTTTGGGTTATTTGGTTACTTTACAGTGTCAAAGTTATTCCAATGTTATGTTTAGGGGATTAACATGTAAAACTTTAATAAGTTCTATTATGGCCATGAATTTGTTGCATTTTCACAAGAATACACAAGTGCTGTGATCCTTACTTGACTTCTCCCGTCAGTCTAGCAAACTGATACTCATTAAGTATTCTGCTTTTCTTATTGTGATTATCAATGTTCTTTCCTATTTTTCTTTGGTTGTTCTTTCATCTATTTTCTTCATTTTTGATATTTTAATATCCATATATTGTGGTCCATGGACTTGGTTCTGTTTTTCTATATTGTGACTAGTATAAACTGTTTATTTTTTTAGATATTCTTCATTAATTAATCTTTTATTTAATTTTAATATTGCAAATGTAATTTATGATTGGTTTTTTTATAGGTGGTATCCCATTGCCAATATTTTCTGAGTGGTGGTTAGCCAAAGAAAAGTTCTCTACAATTGAAGCATTTATTATATCTTCATTTCCTGGAGCAACATGTCAAGGTTGCAATGGGTTGAGCATTAAATATCAGGTAAACCGGTGTGAAGCTTTGGAATACTTGTTGCATCTTGATATAGTCCTTGCACAAAGGATAAGGAGGGTTACAATATGTTCTACTTTGACCACATGGCTTCTTTAATCCCTGTAGTAATTGATCCCAAAATTATTGTAGTTGCCTTATGGAAACGACCTCTCTCTTGCTGATGTTTTTGGGCATCTGGAACGGAACAGGTACAGCACATTGTTTCCTGGTTTTGATTTTATTTGTTTCCTTTCTGGAATCAAGCTGACCCACATATGTGAATTTTACTCATCAGAGATTCATTGGGGATAGCAGAATACAGTATCAGCCAATCAACATTGGAATCCATTTTTAATCATTTTGCAGCAAACTCATGAGGTATAGGTACTACGTAACGGTTAATATCTTTCAATATTTTGCTAAGAGGGTTGAGAAGGTTTTCTTGTCAATTTTTTTTCATTGTTAGCTGTAGAAGGTTGAATTGCCCTCTAAAGCTGTCGGATTAGTTTTAAATAACAGGAATTAATATGATGAGTGTAAACGTAAGCTAAGCTTCATACTGAACCTGCACCAGCTTGCTAGGGTGATTTTGAACCTTGCTAGGGTGACCTTGACAGCGAACCATATGCTGGCTTGTGCTTGCTAGGGCGACCTGCACCAGCTTTGACTTGTCTTTCTGTGACTTAAACCCTTACCTACGATAGTAAAAAAATATGATAGTAACAAATTATATTATTTTTTTTTTATACTGAGCATATAGTCCTTAATACAGAAAAATGGCAAAAAAAGATTCATATTGGTGATCCCACTTAACGAGGACAATTTGATTTACTTGATATTCACTACTCGATACTCCTCACTTTCCAGTCTTGCAAATGTTACAAGTTTTGTGCATGTACAGAATATTTTACAAAGGAGATATTCGTAAGAAGAAAACTTTGAATCATAGATGAGCTACTTAACTCACTCCTTCCATTTTACTATTTTCAGGTAGTAGGGCTTGAAGGCCTTGTATGCTTGTGGATCTTGTATATATATATGAAGACCTTTTGACACATTAGGTAATCTCTTTTGACCCATGATGTACTTGTGTTATTTTACTGTTTTAATATGATATACTTGTGATTCATATAATGGAAATGCCAATGTTGAGATGTGTAAAATAAATGAAAACTGTATAAAAATATATAAAAATGTACGAGAATATGTAAAATGTGTACATAAATACTAACTTTTTTCGTATAATTTAATTTTTAGTGAACGTTGTTAGCAAGACCCTTGGTATAAATGTATTCATTTTATTATGACACGTGTTCTAATGAGGAAAACTTTGGTTGGTTAGATGACGATCAAATTGGTGTGATCTTTTCTTTTGAACAGCTTTAAATATTTAATTGTCACCTATTTGATCCTTGGTACTAACTCCTGGTTAGGTTTAGAAGAATTTGTCAATGGACTTTGGTTGTCTTTAATTGTTTGGTTGAAAATTTTTGTCAATGGAGAAATTTTTCACAACAGTTTTTGGCACGGTCATCGGTCTCTTCCATATGTTTCAATGAATAACTCCCAATGGCTTGGTATGCTAATTTATTTAGATTAAACATTACACTGATTACAGTATTTTAAATAAGAAATATCTTGTCATGAAGATGAAGATATTCAAGAAGTGATTTGTTCTTGATTATTGAAGACTAAGAATGCCAATCATCCATTTCCATTGAATTTACAAGTTTAGCAATATAGAACTTGCCAAAACTTTTACGCTGTGTTTGGTTGAGAGATTTGGAGAGGGATTTGGAAAGGAAAAGGGAAAAGGTGTGTGTGAAATTAGGTAAACTGTAGGTATGTTTTATTCACATTTTACCTACTTTTTCTATTTTCCTTTCCAAATCTCTCCCTAAATTCTCCAACTAAACACAGCATTAAAAAAATTTAGATGGTGAAGGATGACTAGTGGATTGCCATTGTTTGCCCACGAAAAATTGAGTAAGTTTAGGAAAATAGAAATTGATCACAAAATTGAATACAAAAAAAATATATAAATGGACAATAGTTTTTAGAAAAAGGCTCTACTAACAATTTTATAAAATTTTATTTTGTTCTGTTTTTTTTTTTTTTTTTTTTTTTTGTTTTTCCCTTTCTTTTTTGGTTTGGTATGGTTGGATTATGTGTTGGGAAAATATTTAATTCTACATCAATGATAACATCTTTAGTCAAAAATTCCAGTTGAAGGGTTTGGAAATAGGGAATAACTTTTAGACAAAAGCCTTTGATGATGTGACAATCTAAGTAGGAAGTGTGTGGATGAGAACAGTAGGCATTTCAAGTCAAGATTATAGGTGGTTGGTAGCCAGAAATTGCTTGGTGAACACTTTGAACACTCGACAATGTAGAAGCATAGTAGTGGTTTTTCTTCCTTTTTAAATTTTTTTTTTTTTAATGTTTTTGTGAGTTGTTATTGGTGGATATTAAGAAAATTATTATAGTTTGAACAAGGACACTTGGTATTTCAAAACAACATCAAGAGTAGTTGGTAGAAATTGCTTGAAAGTTACATGGCATTCTCTCTCTCTCTCTCTCACACACACACACACACACACACACACATACATAAATGATAATTAATCCATGCTAGTCATTATTGATATTTATCTCAATTGGTTTATACAATTTTGGTCTATATAATTATTCAGTATATAATTTATTAGACTGCCATTTTAAGATATTTCATTAATTACTATAATTTATATAAATAAAATACCTCTACGATTTTTATAATATAAAGAATAAGAATTTGTATATCAAATCAATAGAATTAATGCTATTAGATAATATGTGAAATAATTGAGGTCAGGGCATATAATAATTTACAAATATTGAGGACCAAGAAAAGAATTTTAACAATCTTACAAGATTACTATTTATACACTTGAAAAATAATCGTAAAGTAGAGGGGTAATAAACAAATTTGAAGAACTTTGCTCCGTGCCTATCCCTAACATTGTTTAGATTGTCCTCAGTGCTGGATGAGAGATAATGTTAGCCTTATCTATCTTTTTTTTAACAGCTTCATTAATTGAGAGAAACATATGCACATAACGTAGTTGAATTAATCTTCTCTCGATCATATACCTTGATTAGAAGTTTTTATTTATTTATTTATTTATTTTTAAGTGATTTGACTGATTAATACTAGATACATGCGCAAAACGTTGTCAACAAGGAAAGTTTGCCGGAAGAGCACATTGTACTGCTCTCAAACTATTCTCACATTTTCCATAGGACAACGTGAATCACCTTAAAGTGGACTTAATTATGATATCTATATATACCATGTGACATTAGTAATTTTCATGTATCTTTAGTGTACTTGTGCTTTTCTTCGTGCCTCGTTTGGGAATAGTGTCTGGTTTGGGAATAGGTTAATTTAATAACTTTTTTACTATTTGGTTAAAATATGAACTAAAAAAAATTAGTATGTTTAGGATGATTTTTTGACTTTTTGCAAAAAGATGTACAAAAAGTAGAGAGAAAATAGAATCTTTGACTTTTTTGTATGGGTTGTTAATTTTTTGATTTTTTTAGTGACTTTTTGACTAAAAAAATCACTTGCCAAACGAGGCCTAATCATGCAATAATTCAAGTAAATACTACTTCAACTACTCAATAAGCCCACCCTTTTTAAACAATAAAAAAAGAAAAAAAAAAAGAAAGGAAAAAGTTCCATTTTGTTAAATATTTAAGGGCATTCTTATACTTTATCTCTCGTATCATTTTAGTTTTTGTAATTTTATTTTACACAATTTTGATCCTTGAAGATTTTGGCATGCCTATTTGGGCTAAAGTAGTCATATAGGACAAAATTAGTTATTTTAACCAAATAGGATAAAATGTCACATTCAAATCATAATTATTTCATTTTTTCTTTTACAAAAGTTAAAAAAATCAAAAAGTCTATCATAAAAGAGACTTTTTAGCCCAAGGCTAAAATAACCAAAAAGTCAAAAAATAAACTCACATCTCAAACGAAGGCTTAATCAATAATATTAGGATTTTTGACAAAGAATACGAATGTTGATTGCTTGTTATGTCTATTTTACTCTTAAAAAATGGTCATATACTTTTCATGTGATTATTTTATGTCAATACATATTATCAATTAAATAAAATTGAAACTAGAGTAAAAATTTAAAATTAAAATTATAGAAATCAAAGTGAAACAAGAAACCAGTTAAAAGGACTTTCTTTGTCCAAGTATTTTATAATACAAAATCTCCAAGCCTAGTAGTCTTGGTGGCTTTAAATGTCTATTTAAAATGGAAGGTTTTATTTTTATTTATTTTTTCCTTTGCACTAAGCCTCAACTCTAAATGGATGTATTTGAAAAAGTCTCCACTTCAAGTAGAGGCTTCCCCTGATAATTATCTGTTCATTTTCTCTATCTTACATTAGAATATGATACGACTAAATCAACCTTGGACAATATTTTTCAATCAATATTAGTTTTGATAATTTTTTTAAATCACAATATTCTGTTCATAAACTCTATATTTCTAGCAAACACTATCACTCTTTTCTTTTTAATGATATATCCATACAGAAATACAAAATCATTTATCATAATGATATCGCTATATACCATTTTTAAAAACAAAAATCACTTTAATAGATCTTTCATTTTAATCTACGTTTGGATGACAAGAATCCATTACTAGGAATTAAATTTATATGTTAATTTTATTCCGGCATTGGTTTGGCTTGGATTTTTTTTTTATAAGAAATAATTTTTTTTAATATTTAGTCCCGTTTATTTATTTTATTCTTAAATGGTAGGCATTTCGTATAAAATGTGAGATTCACATAAAAGTTGTGGTGATCAAATTCCTATTCAATTTTGAGATGTGATTTCAGATTGAATATGTAATCCCGAATCAATTTTTCATTCCCTCTGCATATCTACCATTCAAACTTGACTTAAAATGATAAAATTAAAATTTATCATATCATTGGTATTGATTTTATCTATATTTTTTCTTTCTATAGTATAATGCTACTCAAATAATAAATAAAGGCGTACGAGGATATATAATCAACCATATTGAAAATATAATTAATATAACTAATAAAATAGTGTTTTTATTATCAGAGCATGCAATAGATCTTGTTTTTAAATCTCATCACTTATCGATAATTAAAATACTATGTGTTTGATTTGTTTATAGAGGAGAGTCTAACCACAATTAACGAAACGTGTCGACAATAAAATATGAATAATAAAATTATATCTTTCACTAACCACCATTATAACATATAAGAGTTTTAGAGATCAAATGTTTTGATCTCTAAAAGTGAAAATTTTGTTGCAGAAAGGGAAAATGTAAGTGAAATGTGAATAAAATATACATACATTTCACCTAATTTCACACATCTTTTCATTTTTCCTTTCTAAATCCTTTCCTAAATCCCTTAACCAAACACAGCGTTAGCAATCAATTTCTATTGTCGTAAGGATAATCATTAAAATGTCGTCCTGAAAAGTTAAAAACAAGACTTTTAGACACAAAATTTTGAAAATGTCACTAATAAATAAATTTTTAGAAACAAAATAATTTGGTCTCAAAATGGTTTATTTTTTTAGTCACAAAATTTGATCCAAAAAATATAATAATTCATCACTAATGTCTAATTTTCATTGCTAAAAATATGATGACACTTTTCGCAATAAAAATATTTGATTCTTAAAAAATAATTTTATTCTTAAATTTTGCTCTCTAAAACTTTAATTTTTTGTAGTGCACTTACAATTTTAAATTTTTAATGAATTAATATAACTAATTCTTCATATCCACGGTAAAGTTTTTGCAGTCAACTGATGGCCAATTTGTTCTTCCACTTTCAAGCATCAATTGTTTTCTTTGTAGTGGCCAATATTGACCTTAGGCTACTCTCTCATCAATCCTTCCATGCAGCTTCCAAAATTTTCTTGGTCATATTAAAAATAGTTGTATTTTTGACTATAGAAAGTCATTCTTATTTGATTAAACTTGCTGTCAAAAAAAACACCGAAAGTGTTGTCATTGCATGCGTATGCTGTTTTTAGAAGCAACTTCATAGAGAACTTGTCATGCAATTGCACTTTTCATCTTGCAATTTTAGTGCTAGTCGGAAGGTGTCATGTCTCATGTTTGGTTTGTTTAAGTCTCCTTTTGTTTCTTGTTTTCTATTTTTATTTTCATAAATTTTGAAAAATTGGAACTAGAGCATGTTTGGTGATTGTTTTCTTTTTGGGTAAATTATGTAAATGGTCCCTATAATTTAAACGATATGTCAATTTGGTCTATATTGTTTTAATTTAACAGATTGTGTCATTTTAGTCCAATAAATAACGGTTGTTAAGTTTGGTAGACTGAAAATTCACACAATGTGTCAATTTGGTCCGTGTTGTTTTAATTTGCTCGATTTTGACAGGGACCAAAATAACACATTGTGTAAATTATAAGGACTAAATTGACACATAGTTTGACTTTCCGTACCAAACTTAACAACTGTCATTTATTAGACTAAAATGACACAACCCGTTAAATTAAGGAGCAAATTAAAACAACAGAGACCAAATTGACACATCGTGTAAACTATAGGAACTATTTGTATAATTTGCCATTTTTTTTAAAAAAAAAATGTTCAACAGTTTCCAAAATTTCCAAAAGTTTTAGGAATAAAAAAAATATAATTTTGCTTATTTCCAGAAATAAGTTTTCATTCTCTCCTCCCTCGCTTGGTTTTTCTTTGTGAAATGCTTAAAATCCATAAAATATCACTCATAAATTGAATCTTAATAGTTTGGACTGTTACATGTCAACTGTTGATTCATTTAAGAATATTCAACTAAGACTGAATCCCTTGCCACGTTAGTGTGAGTAAATTTAGAGATAACGTTGTATGGGTCTTTAGCAATTACTATTTTTTTAATAAAAATTTTCAAAACATTTGGGTGTACCAAACAATTTTTCTACTATTGGTTGTTTTGTGAAAAGAAAAACAATTGTTTCTTGCTTTGTGTTTATGAAAAATAATAAAATGACAACGTTAGCAAACACCACCTTAAGTGTTTTGTTAAGCGGTTTTGAGATGTTTGTTTTTGCTAATTGTTTGGGTTTGGTTTTTAATTTTTCTAGTGCTTGATGTTCTATACGTGATTGCTTTGGTTGTGTTTTATCAAAGCTCATGGTTTACATTGCTTGTTGCCATTTCCAATAAATAAAATTCATAACCATTTTCCCAAGAAAAAATAATGGCTTGTGCCTATTTTTTCACCTTTAAAGAGACTACAAAATTTGCTCAAAAACAGAAAAGAAAAAAAAAAAAAAACAATAAACAATAAACAAAAGAAGAGACTACAAAACAATGTACATAAGCTTGAACTTTCTATGCAGTTCAAAACCTTTGCAACATACAAGGTTATACATATGTCAATACTACATTATACATATATAAATCTTAAACTTATGAAAGCTCTCTACTTGTTTTGAAGCAACAAACTTGTTTAATTTCCTACATGCGTAGTTATTTATCGAATAATATTTTTACATAAACAGATTTGTTACTTGATTTTCTTATTACTAACCGCAAAGATAGTAGGATCCATATTATAATAAACACACCTGTGAGACCCATACCTTTACATCTAGTGGTAAGAAAATCCAGCAAAAAATCCATCTATGTATAGCATTTTCTTTATTTATTTGCATGTTTGTGATAACAAAATATTAGCAGTTTCGCTGATCTTTGCCCTCATTCTCTTTATCTCCCTCTCTCCTTCAACCTCCAACCTCACACCAAATAGCTTTGGCCTCTCATCATCTTCTTCTTCTTCTTTCTCCAAACTCGCGTACATGGCCACCGAGTCAAGAAGCTCTTTGCACTTCTTTTTCATGGTCGAAAGCTCAGAGCTTAAGACCCTATTTTCTCTCTTAAGTCGGTTATTCTCATCCACAAGGGTAGTGTACGCAGATGATGATGAAGTTGACGATGATCTTTGATCTTCATCAACTTCTTTGGGTGGTTGCATTTGTGGAATTGGTTGTGCCTTGTTTGACCACGCCTTTCTTCGACGAATTTCACATAGTAGGTTTCTTTCGCCCTTGCGAAACATATCGTTACAAAACTCCCACCGGCTTGTTGTCACCTTTCGAAACCCCTATGAATTGATCATATATAATGACTCGTGAGATATGGATGAAACTTTATATTTTTCAAATTAAAATAAAAAATGAAGAGATTAGCCCAAGAACTCATAAGACACATGATATTTCATTGATTTAGAAGTTTATGAAGTTTTCTTATTCTTTTTTCAGCTTGGAATTTTCTTATATCTCATTCACAAATTAGAACTTAAATGTAGTTATATAGAGAGAAATAAAAGAAAAGGAAAAAAGGAAAGACAGATATGATGCATGCATGTGATCATATGTGAAAGTAACATTAGAGTTCTAATGAAGATTTATGTGATGAAGCCATGTTTTGGTAAAGTAGATATACGTAATTTGTAATTTTTATTTTATTTTATTTTTTTTGGGTTGGGGGGGGAGGTGTTTGGGGATCATCCTTAGCCAGTTTTGCGCTTGAAGCCCAAGATCAAAGTGTCTCATAAATAAGCCCACTTCAAACCACATGCAACATTAATTTAAAAAAAAATAAGAAAAGAAAAAAGAAACACATGCAACCACAAACTCAAACAAATCACGACGTTAATTAATGTAATAATTCCAGGCAACATAAAACATTGACTAAAATTTTATAATGAAAATGAAGTATATGGTGTAAGATAATGTGTTGGGAACCATATGTAAAAATGAATCTTATCCATATTTTAATTTTAAGTAATTTTTTTAGGTATATAACACAGCTGTAATAATGATAATATTAATAAATAGCATTTAAATTATAAGATAGGTTTGAAAAAAGATTGATAAGCCTTTTTCATTCAAAACCCTCTTAAAACATGACTTGATGATGACCAATATATACATAGAAATGATCCCTCTATAATATATTAGAAGATGAATATACATATATATGAATTGATGAGTTGTAGAGAGTGTGTTTTATGTACTTACATAAGTGTTGAGCTGCCTGACAAAGCTAGAGAAGTTGCTGTGCTTGAAGAGAGTTGGGAGTAAATCTCTGGCGAAGTCCGCCGGCTGCCACACCACGAAACCCGTGCCATCGGCGTTCCACGATATCACTTGGTCCGTAGTCGGCTCCTCCACCAACATGTAGGTTTTCATCAAGAATGGTGGTGGTGATGACTTCCTCATCATCTCATACTCCGCCAAACCCTTTTCACACACAGATTCTCCACCCTCCATCATCATCATCATCAAGAATATTAATATCTATATATATATATACTAGCTGTCTGTTAAAATTGCAAGAAGTTATAAATTTCAATTTGAAACTAATCTAAGGTGTAGGTTTTAGATAGGGGAGAGAGAGACTAATCTGAGGAGGAGGGGGTGGAGAAGAGAAGAAGGTCAGTTAAGAACTCCCAACCCCAGCAATAGAAACGCAACACGACTCCACAGTTCATGAGAAAAATGCGAGCTTTCTTTTTCTCTCCCCAAACAAAGAAAGAAAAAAAAGGTCGAAACGTGTGTTCTTTTTTTGCTTACCCCTTCCTATATAGTGGGAAACTATTTCGTGTCCATTGAATACTATATACTATAGTCATAGTAATATTAAAGAATGTGGAAAAAAAGCTATGCATGTAGTAGTGTCTATTATGTGTGGGCCCACTTATCCTATAGTATGAATTCATGTTAAGAAAAAACATTTCTGATTAAAAACTTATATTATGGATTTAAATTTATTGATGTGGTGTCATGAATATCCCTTTGATATTTTTAAAATTATAAACCTAAGTGATAGGTTCTTTTAACTTTTGTTCGAGTTGTGAGTTGATTTTTTAATTATTTTGTTTGGAGTTAAAAAGTATCGTTTGGGATGTAAGTTGGTTTTTTGTTATATTGCCTAGTGCTAAAAAATCTCGTTTGAGATGAACTTTTTGACTTTTTTAACTTTTGTGAGAAAAAAAATAAAATTATTATGATTTAGATGTGACATTTTATCTTATTAACTTTTTAACATATTTTATCTTTTTATAGCTATTTTAACCCAAAAAATTCATACCAAACATAGCTTTATTTTGAAATAATGAAATCACAATTAGTCATATAATGTTATATAGAAATTTTGTATAAATATTCTTCATTCTTATGAATTTGATGTATTATAAAAAATATGCAATTATTTGAATGAATATAGACTTGTAGCTATTACCATGGAAAACACAATGCCCATGGCCACCAACTTCAATTAATTTTTGAATCCAAGAATTAAGCAATTGTTAATCCGATATCTTCGTTTATTTGAATTGACTTTGTCAATAGTAAATATCATTGCAAATGGTCAAAAAGAAGACTAAAGAAGTCTACAATATCACTTAAGAACACTTACATTTCATAATGGTTTGGTTTTGATATCAACAGTAATGTTAATGGTTTGGATAGGTCTTAATAGCTAGATTTATTATCTAATAAATCTTATCATAATTAATGGTGTTTTTCATCAAATATTATAAAAATGTCATTAATTATTAATTTTTAATGACAGTTTGAAAATTGTCACAAAAATGTTATTAATTATAAGTTTTAGCGACAATTTAAAAAAATCGTTATAAAAAAAATCACTAATTTTACACTTTCGATGACAGTTTGAAAAATTTATCATAGAAAAACGTCACTAATTATAAATTTTATCGATAATTTATAAAAATCGTGACAAAAAAAGTTACTAATTGTCAATGTTGAGAAACATATGTAAAAAATTATTACAAAAAATTATTTTTATCAACTATTTTATTAGGATTTATTTTCAATAAATTAAGTCAAACTATTAGGATCTATTGATAGTTTATCCAACAATATAGAAACTAAACACAGAATGAGACATAACCTTCTTACAAAGGGTGAGTCCTATATATATGGGTCCTACCCCTTATGAGAGGGACGTATTTTATTTTATATTTGATTTATGTGTACATGAACTTACTCTTTGATCAAACCCTTAACCATAAGTCAATTATCATAGTAATTGATAAAAATTGTGATAAAGAAAGTGGTAAATACGTAATTACAGGGTAAATTGAAGTTGGTGAGACAAAACTTTCCATCTTTATTCCCAATTCATCTTTAACGTTCAAATTCTCCATTCAATTCTTCTTTCTTACACTGTCGATTTTTGGGTTTCTTTTGCCATATTATAATGACGACCATATATTACTTTGTATTCTTCTTCTAACTTCTAAGAAGGTATCACTTTGAGTTTTGTGTGCTTTTCTCTTTTCTAAAATTTCCAAGAACAGTGTAGATCCTGCCCACCACCTCATGGCTTTGATTCTCAAATTAATATGATAAAAAAATATGAGTGTGAAATTAAGTGATGCGATGAGATTATTAATATGATACTATTAGATTTGAAACTTAAGATAAATTATATTTATTTGTATATTAGTACTATTAATTGATTGATATTAAAATTTATAAAATTATACAAAAATCTTTTCAAATAGAGGCAAAATAATATTTTTATGGGATTGGATTAGTAATTCCATATTTATTACCTGCATAGAGCTAAAACAAACATGGTTCGAGATTGTTAATGCTATAGTATGAACTCATATTAAGAAAAAAAATTTCTAATTAAAAACTTATATTATGGATTTAAATTTATTGATGTGGTGTCATGAATATCTTTTTAATATTTTTAAAATTATAAACCTAAGTGATATGTTCTTTTAGCTTTCGTTTGGGATGTGAGTTGACTTTTTGATTATTTTTCTGGAGCTAAAAAGTCTAATTTGGGATGTGAGTTGGTTTTTTGGTTATATTGCCTGGGGCTAAAAAGTCTCATTTGAGATTGGTTTTTTGACTTTTGACTTGTATGAGAGAAAAAATAAAATGATTATGGTTTAGATGTGATATTTTGTCTTATTGACTTTTTAACTTATTTTATCTTTTTATAGCTATTTTAACCTAAAAAATTCATACCAAACATAAGCTTATTTTGAAATAATGAAATCACAATTAGTCATATAATTTTATATAGAAATTTTATATAAATATTCTTCATTCTTATGAATTGATGTACTATAAAAAAATATGCATATAAGCAGATTATTTGAATGAATATAGATTTGTAGCTATTACCATGGAAAACACAATGCCAATGGCCACCAACTTCAATTAATTTTTGAATCCAAGAATTACGCAAATGTTAATCCGAAATAGTAAATATCATTGCAAATAGTCCAAAAGAAGACTAAAAGAAGTTTACAATATCACTTGAGAACACTCACATTTTATAATGGTTTGGTTTTGATATCAACAGTAATGTTAAGAGCTTATGTTTAGGTCTTAATAGGCAGATTTATTGTTTAGTAGGTCTTATAATAATTAATAATATTTTCATTAAACACTATTAAAAAATGTCATTAATAGTTGATTTTTTATGATAGTTTAAAAATTTTGTCACAAAAAATATCACTAATTATAAGTTTTAGTGACAGTTTAAAAAAATCGTTACAAAAAAAGTCACTAATTTTAAACTTTTGATGACAGTTTAAAAATTCGTCATAAAAAAAGTCACTAATTGTAAGTTTTAGCGATAATTTATAAAAATTATGAAAAAAGTCACCAATTGTCAATTTTGAGCGACATATGTAAAAAATCATTATAAAAAATTATTTTTATCAATTATTTTACTAGAACTTATTTTCAATAGGACTTGATGAGAATTAAATTTAACAATTAGAATCTATTGACAATTTATCCAACAATGCAAAAAACAAACACAGAACGAAACTTTCCTGCAAAGGGTGAGTACCTTATGTGGATCCAATATATATGGGTCCCACCCTTATGAGAGGGTTGTGCTTCATTATATATTTAATTTATGTGCATATTGATCAAACCATTAAACCTAAGTGGATTATCATAGTAATTGATAAAACTTGTGATAAAGAAAGTGGTAAATACAGTCACGGAGAGTAAATTGAAGTTGATGAGACAAAACTTTCCACATTCTTTATTCCCAATTCATCTTTAACGTTCAAATTCTCCATTCAATTCTTCTTTCTTACGCCGTTGATTTTTGGGGTTTCTTTTGCCATATTATAATGACGACCCTATGTTACTTTGCATTCTTCTTCTAACTGCTAAGAAGGTATCACTTTGACTTTTGTGTGCTTCTCTCTTTTCTAAAATTTCCAAGAACAATGTAGACCCTGCCCACCACCTCGCGGCTGGTGAGGTCATGTTTGATTCTCCAATTAATTTGATAAAAAAATATGAGTGAGATTAAGTGATGTGATAAGATTATTAATATGATATTATTAAATTTGAAACTTAAGATAAATTATATTTATTTGTATATTAGTACTATTAATTGATTGATATTAAATTTATAAAATTATACAAAAATCTTTTTAAATAGAAGCAAAATAATATTTTTATGGAATTGGATTAGTAATTCCATATTTATTACCTACATAGAGCTAAAACAAACATGGTTCGAGATTGTTAATCCCACTTTGTAAGGGGATTCATAGTCCATGAAATTCTTAGTCTTATGCCATTTTTCTCAGCCAAATATAATTTTATGAGGCGATTCTTATTACTTAGGGAGCTAAACAAATGTTGTCGTAGAGTGTTGTTGGAAAAAATTTAAATATTACCTTCAAATTTACTCATACTAACGTTAAAGAGAATTGAATCTTAGTTAATTAATTCATAAACAAATTCATTATATGTATCCTACCACAAATTAGTGTAATTTTATCATAAATTAATGTAATATTAACTACAAAATGCATAACCTCACCACAAATTAGCTTAACAAAATGTTTAAAATTTTGTGATTGATGCCACAAAAATTTGTGGATTGGTTACGATAGTTTTTGTTATGTCAATTTGTGTTGAGATTATGTATTTTGTGATTGATATTATAAAATTTTGTGATAAAATTACGCCAATTTATGGTAGAGAGCATTCCCTTTGTTTTAAACACTTAATCCTTAAAGAACACATTAATAAAATTCTTAAATTATTAATATTTGTATTTCAAGGCCTCTTTGAATTTAGAGATGGAAGGAGGGTCAAGTTGCGATAATATTTTTAGGGACTGAGCAAATGGACTTGGTCTTAAAAGTGGGGTGGTATAATATTCAATTGATTTTGTCAGTCTTAATGTTAGGGTTCAATTCCCTTATTATCTCAATGATAAAATAAAAAGAAATTTTTTTTTTAAAAAAAAATTCACACTGCAACCTACGCAGTGTTTATCTCAAAAAAAAAAAAAAAAAAAAAAGAAAAAAAAAGAAAAAAAAAAGTGATTAATCTTGAAACTAATATTAAAAAACAATACTATTTATTTACTAATATGACTTTTTAGGGTAAATTTAAAATTTCATCCTCTAATTTCCACTTGAAATTCATTTTAATCCCACATCTAATTATAATAATTTAGTTTTCAAAATTTAACTTGTATTTTAATGTGGTCTTTGTTCACTCATCGTATAAAATTTAGACCAAAAGTACTTATCTTGG